GTTTTACTTTCCTGCTTGTGCTAAAAAACATCAACAGGAAAAGAAACAGTATCAAGACAATGTTCAAATATGCACCTCCTGATGCAAGCTCCACCACCCACTATTTTGTAAAGCATGTACAGTGATGATGATGGAGACAGACATGGGATGTTTACGACTTGCAGATGAAGACCTGCTGTCTTCAACTGGCTCACGGGAAAGTACAGAGAAGTATAAAAGCGAAAGTCAGAACAACTGCCTTGAATATACACTGGTGTTATGATCTGCGTGTCACAACTGCACTCAGAGGCACACGTTATGTCCATGGCAGTCCAAGCCCTGAGTCAATACAGAAGACTAAAGAACCATGCAGGTGTGTTATTCGTACGATCCAATCCTCAGCTCTTCTAAAAGCTAGGGCACCAGCACCAAAGTGTAGCTGCTACTTTCCTCACAGAATCACTCCGGCAGCGATGTCCGAAGATCGTGTGGTCCAAACCCCTGCTCAAAGCAGGGTCACCCAGAGCTGGCTGCCCAGGACCTTGTCCGGTCAGGTTTTCAAACATTTCTAAGGACAGAGACTCCACAACCTCTCTAAGCAATCTGTGCCAGCATCTGACCACCCTCAGAGTAAAAAAGTGTTTCCTAACGTTCAGATGGAATTTTCTGGCTTTAGACTTGTGCCCGTTGCCTCTTGTCCTGTCAGTGGGCACCACTGAGAAGAGTCTGGCTCTCTCCTCTTCATTCATTCCCTCCCTTCAGATGTTTATACACATTGATGAGATCCCTCTGAGCCTTCTCTTCTCCAGGCTGAACATTCCCAGCTCTCTCAGTCTCTCCTTGTAGGAAAGATGCTTCACTCCCTCATTCATCTTCATGGCTTTTCACTGGACTCACTCCAGCAAGTCCACATCTTCCTTGTGCAGAGGAGCCCAGCACTGGACAGAGCATTCCAGAGGTGGCCTTGAGTGGCAGGGAAGGATGACCTCCTTCGACCAGCTGGCAACACAGCTGACGCAGCTCAGGATGCTGTTGGCCTTTGCCACAAGGATGTATCAGCAGTTCATGGTCAGCTTGCTGACCATCATGATCTCCTCCTCTGCAGAGCTGCTTTCCAGCTGGTCAGCCCCCAGCACCTACCGCTGCACAGAGTTGTTCCTTCCCACATGAAGGTGTTAAAGTGTTGGCCCCAGTGCTGATCCCTGGGGTTCCCCACCAGTGACTGGCCTCCAACTGGTCTTCGTAACTTTGTCAACCACAGCACCTCCAAGCTGCGGCATGCACAAGACTATCAATCCAATTTTGAGACTGGAAGGCAAACAGTAGCATCAAATCACGTCATGACCCATTCCCTCCTTTGTCCAGCTCTTTCTGACTCTGAGGTAAGTGTACAAACAGTGCCTCAGCATCCCCCAAGCAATAATTCAAAACAAATCCAATGTAAAGGCTAGTCCTTTTATCAAATCAGGAACTCTTTTATGCCAAGCATCATGGATGTTTTTTGAGAAAAAGTTGTTTGTTTTTTGGTGTTTGTTTTAAAACAACAACTTATTTTTTCCTGTCAAATTAACTATTTAGGACCTTTTCACAAGCATTCCTGGTATCAGCCTCTTCTCAAGCTCACCACTTCCTCCTACCACAGACCTTTAATCTTTATCTAATCTCCTGTGCCTATGAAGTACCTGGATTTAGAGAAAAAATTTTAAAAAGCAGCTGGAGACCTCCTGTACCTTAGTACAGCAGCCTGGAGGAGTTCCAGAATACCTTGGAAAAACATTGCTATGTGAACACAAATACAAATGTTAGGCAACACAGAGGAAGTTCAAGAATGAAAGTGAAAGATAGCAAACCCTTCAGAGAAGTCAGAGAAAACAGCAGGATTTTTACCTCAGACGTGGAACGGTCTTGTGAGAAAGGGACAGTGTTTCCTTATTCAAGCAAGTATCGGTTCCACAAGGCATTTTATCTACGAGAGAAGAGTATAAGCCATCAGTAACTATAAAAGGAAGCCAAAGAGTTTTAGGAGTTTACAGTAAAGAGCTTCACCAAAGAGAAACTATTTTCATTGTCTCTCTTACATCATGTTATTTGTGTTATGTTACTTTAGGATATTTTCAGATTTTCATACTGGCAACTACAGAAGGTATTGCCAGCCTAAACCTGAAAATAAAAAAGGGTTATCAGGATCCACTACCTAAAATTAGCATTTAAAATAATTTACTTCTGGCAAGCTAACAGTGGACATAACTGAAGGACTGCACCCAAGGCAGCTCTTGTACTGAGACGACAAGATAAGCGCCTGGCCCCAATCCAGAAACAATGCAACAATGCAGGGAAGAAACAGAGTTCACACTCAAGTATTCCTAGATGCTACCTAGATATTGTGCCTGCAATAATCCGTACATAAGCCTTGGGGTAGAGTTGCACAGTACACAAGGTAGGGTGAAAAATGAGTTAATAACTTGATGTCAGCCTTACCAAATTGTAGCATTTCTATTTCTAGCGCAGCACCTCTTGGTCTTTTAAATGAAGGATCAGAAGGAGGAGACTGAATCTTAAATAAAAACAAAAAATTATCAACATGAGTATAACCTGAATGTGAATCCAAGCAAACATAAACTTCCTGAAATTTAGTCAGCTCTATTATGACTTGGGGCACATGATCTGCTGGTTCAGATTGTAGTAGAATGCAAATCTTTGCAGGATCTCTGACAGGATCACTTTAATTTTTTAATACAGGCTCTCCTACGTGCAGTGATTAAAACAATACAAGCCTATCACCAAGTTCTCCTCAGTCAGCTCCCAAAACTTCCAAAGTGTGATAGCTTAGCCCTTGAAAAATATATTTTGTACAGATGTTAATGACTGTCCCAGGGATGAGTAATTAGAGCACGACAGTTTCTTATTCCTCTTATCCTATGGGGCAATAAGAAAAATAACACTACACCTTTGAACCAAACTACAGAGTCAAGCAGTTCATGACTCATTTTTACAGAGTCAAAGTCCTACAGGAATCCTCTCCTGGACTGGTGGGTAATGAACCTAACAGAAGGAGGTTTATCGAGAGGAAACATGCAGTTTTTCTTGCACCGTAATGTATTTTGACTCCTTAATTACAAGCTTGAGAAAGAGAGTAACAGTTTACAAACACACTAGAACTATAAACTTGAACAACTGTAAAGTATCTGGAAGACAACAAACATTTAGCTCCTTCCTTGGCTGCAGGTGTTACAACAGAGTATGCAAACTTGAGTAAGGCAAACCCAGCATGCGAGAGCTGCCTGCTACAAATGGAAAAGAACCTACTGCCATACAGGCTCAGGGCAGGCCCAACTTCAAGATGCATTAGGGAGAGCCGCTTCCTCTTTCATCTTGCATAGATTCTACCTACTTTCCAAATCCTTGCTCACCTCTCCTGCAGACTCTGTGATTGGAGTGGCATTGCTGACTGAAGCCTTCTGGCGTTTACTTGTTGCCTTGGCTGGCAACTTCACCACAGCAGAAACTTCTTCAACTTTCTCTTTACATTCAGAGACGGCATAAGCTAAAAAACAAGGACAGGCCATATAAGAACATGATTTAAAAGGGGGTTAACATTTCTATTTGCATTAAAGCCCATCTCCTGAATCCCACCTAAAGCACTGTAACTCATTTCAAGTTACACACCCTTCTGCCAACAGCAGCTGGCAGTGATATTTGTATTAGCTGGCTCACTGCACAGTCCTTCAGAGCTGGAGCTCAAAGACTAACCCCTGAGTCTGCCACCCTGTTTTTGGGAACATCCCCTGTTTCTAGAGTAGCAGCACAGGGTGCAATTTATCCTCCTCATCACCTCCACACATGCATGTATGTACTCTTGCAGTTTATTACAAGTCACTCTTGTCTAGTTGAGAGAAGCTGTTCACTGAGGTCTAGAAACCAAAGCTACCCGCAAGCTTGTTCTTTTCAGTACTAAAGAAGCAGAGACATGCGACCCCTCAGACAGTACTTCCAAACATCAACCAAGCCAGGGCTGTCTAATTAAAGGGGCTGTGTTAGAGATTAAATCACATTAGACAACAGCATTTCTTTGAAGGTAAGAGAATGACATTTTAGCATATGAGGGCATAGATGGTACCACGTTCTTAGAAGCAGATTTGGCCTAGTTACTAATGTGTGAATTCTTCCTACCAAGAGTTGGTCATATTGCTAGAAGGAGGAGGGATAGGGGACCAAGATATCAATTTGATATGTTTTTCAATTGTTTCATGCTCTTAAGCTTGAAAAGCACACTAGCAGTTCAGCAGCCCCTACCATTAAATAAGGGGCAGCATCATTTGCCAAGCAGTAACTAGGAAGCTCCGCACCTCCTCATAGAACTTGTGCTAGGAGGCGTTGTACAGCCTAAAGAGCATAATTTCTCCTTCTTTATCAGTAAAGATGAAAAAGGGGAAATGTCCACCTCAAATCATGACCAATGCAGCTGGCATCCAGTGGCACCAACGTGGCTGCTGGCAGCTGCATAATTTTACCCTTAGACACTTTGTGGAGGGGGTATCAGAGAAAGCTTCACCGAAGAGAGCGCTTCTCTACCCCGCTGTTCTCTCCTATGTCCAGCCTCTGCTGTATCTCCATCCTTTCTCTATGTTTTCAAAATGCACCTGTCAAAATGTTCAGATTCAGACTAAACTGACTCTTCTGTTTTCAATTCAGCTTTTTTTTTTCCCCCACCAAACTCACTAGCTCACAGAAATACCATTTTTCTCTGCCTGCCAACAGTTTAAAGTTACCTTCCTTCCTACCCCAGATTCTAAGTGATTTCTCATAAGACATACAGGTATTTTGAACTCATACATTACAAACAGTAATAGGGAGCACACAGCTTTGATTTTTTTTTTTATTTCTGCTGACATGTGTGGGCTCACTGCCAGAGAGACCTGGGATATCTCCTTCTGGCAGTAAAAGTATCATGCCCTGCCACAGCCAACACAGATAACATCATATTTAGGGCTAGGCCCCAGGATACACCCTCAGGCCACTGGCTACAGAGATGGCCACAAGGAAAGAACGGCTTGAAAGTCACAGTTTTGGTAACAATGCTGAAGTACAAGAGCCAGAGTTTCCTTAAACCTAAGAAAAATCAGGCATATTAAAGACTTCTGTAATGTGCAATACCTGGTTTTTGCTTTTTTGGTTGAGTCTGGTCAGGATTTTCCGCTGGTGGCCGAACGCTGAGGAAAGAACACACAGAACAGTGTTTTGCAACCACAGGTAAGCTTCTAACAGGCTGACTTCCCTTCACAGGGCCCAAACTTCCAAAGTTAGCTTTCATATCCCCAAGGTCTCGCCCTCCAAGCACCCCTGGAATCATCTCAGATACACACAGCCAACTGCCACCGCTAAGCATCTCTCATCAACACCCCTCACCTCTCCCAGTCAACAGGCTGCTCACAGAGAGCTAATTATCCCACTAAAGCATATTCGGCCTCTTTTTCTCGTTCTCTTAATGCTTCCTAATGTTGTACCTTTGTTCCTATCACCAAAAAATTGCTTAAGTTAATACACAAAGCTCAAGGAAAGCACACCAGAGATTACTAAGCCGTCTAAGTTTGTAAGTCACTACACTGAGTTGCAAAGAAAAGTCTACGTAGGACAGGAAATAAAAAGGTGGGAAAGAAACTCATGCATATGCCCACTTAAATAACTTACTGCAAAATCAGTGCTCGTGAACTATTCTTGCAATAATTCTTAGCTGCACACTTTCTTACAAAGCATAGGCCCAAGTATTATATGAGTTCATACAAGGACAAAGTCTAGCAAAAATTTTTACTTTGGCAATAGTGTTTAACAAAGAATCCCTTCTATTTGCCTCCAAAAATGCCATGACAGACAGCAAGGACTCATTGAAGAATTCTTTGGTTTTTCTTACACAAAACTATTTCTTTTAAACTGTAATGCCCCTGAACCCCGCTGGCACCATCACTTCTGGACTATCTTCTGTCTGTATCAGGAGCACAAAAAGTAGCTGATACCCTTAACTGCACCTTTCATACAATATAAAGAATTTTTGCTCTTACTATGCTACTAAAGTCAGGCAGAAAATAGTGCAGGGTAGCTGTTAAATGCAGATCTATAAAAATGCATTCTTACTCAGCATATTTGATATTTCAGAAGGTAAAACTAAAGAAGGCAAAATATTTATATCCTCCTGCTCAATTTTCAGCAAGAGCTATCTCATTCTGAGCTGCTCCCCAGTGACAACTTTCCAGCATCAGTCTTCTGCAGGGATAAAGCACAATTCAACCTCTCCCAGGCTATGTTCTGAGATAACAGTTTAAATACCTGACCATGGTTACAGTAACTGTTTTTGAACAGAAGTAACTTTTTCTCCAGCTTTATCAGAGCACCCAACACTCAGGAGAGCGTTGTTTTGTCCTTTTTTACTTTACCAGCCACTCAGAGGTTTAGAATTAGTTTGATCACAAAGCAAGATGAATTCTCTCCCGGTAATTCAGAAATAAATTGGGACATCTTTGACGTTCTGAAGTAGGCATGGCCAGAGAACACAGATGGGCAAGAAAGCAAGGAAAAAACCGCATCTGTGCTTAGCTACCTCTGCCTCCAATGGGAATTCACAACCCTGTGAGAAGGTTAAACTGTGTCATTGCAACTGGGGTTTTGCCAAGGGCCTGGGAGAAATGGGGAAGTGCATAGGAGGGTGTTGAGTAATATTTGAAACACCTTGAAAAAATAGGCCAGAAAATAAAAGCAATTTGAGACTGTTTTCCATGTGAAGATGCATTCATGTCCTTCTCCACGCTCTAGAGAAGACAGCACCTATTTATGCCCAGCATTTTACTTGCCTCCTTAGCAACGACAGGAAAAAAATAAGATATTAGGAAAACTCAGTAACTCTGCATACACCCATATACGCTTGGGCCCTGTTCTTTTCAAAACCTCCTCCCCGACCAGTGTTGAGGACAGTTCATTAAGATTTATAACTTAAATTTGTAAAAAAAAAATCAAGTTTTCACAGGTTAACTCCCCAACAAATCGCACACTGTGATGTGGTGTGGTACGAGAGTAGCTAACACTTACCTACTTTCCTCAGCAGTTTCACCACCCATGGCCATAATTTGTCATCTTTCTGCCATGGGAAAACCTCAAGTGGCAGAAATAACCACCCTGTGGCTTAGATTTCCTTGAAGAGACTCAGACAGGGGACCTGGGAATATCTTTGCCATTTTACAGCCCATCTCAGTGAGCACTGTTTGAAAACTGTCTTTCAGCAGGTTTAGTTTCTGAAGCTACCTAAACACAGTTTCACTTGAATTTCATGCTAATTGCTTCACCTGTCATTCCCAGTGACCTCTTAGCAAAACTGGGTCTCCTGGTCAGACCATGACACGACAGCCTGCAGCATCTACGACGGCACATTCTTCACTCTGGGATCGTGCTCTGCCCAGCAGCTGCAAACAACTACTTGTGCAACAAGATGCTCTTTCCGGAAGACGTTCGCTTTTCCCATTCAACTCCGGAACATGAGACAATAAGCAGAGCCTCCTGGAGCAACAGCTTCTCCCAGAGGGGGCAAGCCTACTCCCCAAAACACGGCACGTAATCCATACACTCCCTCTCTTCACAGGGACAGAAGTGACAGGTGTGGAGATGGCTTAGCCGCCTGTCACCAGGAGCTCTGGGGCACCAGCAGTGGTTAACGCCTGGGAAGGCACCTCCCCTTCTCCATTCCACATACATACCACAGCCCCACACCATGACTTTCCTCCATCCAGTATCTCTCTACACATATATATACACTGTTCTCTGCTCCTTGAACACACGTACTCCAAGTTTCCACCCCTTCCTCTCTTTTCAAACCCCTCCACTGTGCAGATGGAAAGCGAACGAGGAGGTGGGGACATCTGGAACCTACAATCACCTCAGCATCACACCTGAACAACGATGACTGTGGGCACAGAGTGACCCGACAGCGGCGTGAGCCACGGACAGCAACACAGGCCAAAGCCGGGTTGCAGCCTGCTGTGCTTCACCCATTCCCGTGCCAGGGTGGGAGGGGGCGGTGGATGGCACGGACCCCTTGGGAGCCCATCACGAGCCCTACCGCCGCGGAGGGAAATGGGTGGGGGGCTCTGGGCGGGCAGAGGGGCCGAGCCCAGGCCGGGGGCGGGCAGCCGGAGCGAGGGGAACCCCAGGGCAAGACACCACACTGCACCCGAGCTCACGATACACCAGAGCGAATAACGCTGCTCAGCTCGAACACCTCGG